CATTGACTGTTTACTCGGTGTTGTACTAATTCAGGGAAACATGAGGGCTGAAGGTGGGTTGTACCCCACTCTGTCGATATGTAAAATACAATAATACCACACACGCACGCACACACGCACGCACACACGCACGCACGCACACTTTGACATGTAATTATACGATTATACCCCACCCTGTCATGTATAAAGTCGAGATGTAAATTGTAATAATACCACACACACGCACGCACGCACGCACGCACTCACGGGCACAAGCATGCACGCACGCACGCACACTTTGACATGTAATATTACAATTATACCCCTCCCTGTCATGTATAATGTCGAGATGTAAATACAATAATACCCCCTCCCCGGTGATGTGTCGATGTGTAAATACAATAATACCTCCTCCCCGGTGATGTGTCGAGATGTAGATACAATAATACCCCGTCTGGGGATGTGTCAAGATGTAAATAAAATAATACCCCCTCCCCGGTGATGTGTCGAGATGTAAATACAATAATACCCACTCCCCGGTGATGTGTCGATGTGTAAATACAATAATACCCCCTCCCCGGTGATGTGTCGATGTGTAAATACAATAATACCCCCTCCCCGGTGATGTGTCGATGTGTAAATACAATAATACCCCCTCCCCGGTGATGTGTCGATATGTTAATACAATAATACCCCCTCCCCGATGATGTGTCGAGATGTAAATACAATAATACCCTCACCCGGTGACGTGTCGATGTGTAAATACAATAATACCCCCTCCCCGGTGATGTGTCGAGATGTAAATACAATAATACCCATTCCCCGATGATTTGTCGAGATGTAAATACAATAATACCCACTCCCCGGTGATGTGTCGATATGATAATACAATGATACCCCCTCCCCGATGATGTGTCGAGATGTAAATACAATAATACCCTCACCCGGTGATGTGTCGATGTGTAAATACAATAATACCCTCACCGGTGATGTGTCGATGTGTAAATACAATAATACCCCCTCCCCGATGGTGTGTCGATGTGTAAATACAATAATACCCTCACCCGGTGATGTGTCGATGTGTAAATACAATAATACCCCCTCCCCGATGGTGTGTCGAGATGTAAATACAATAATAACCCCTCCCCGATGATTTGTCGAGGTGTAAATACAATAATACCCCCTCCCCGATGATTTGTCGAGATGTAAATACAATAATACCCACTCCCCGGTGATGTGTCGATGTGTAAAAACAATAATATCCCCTCCCCGGTGATGTGTCGATGTGTAAATACAATAATACCCCCACCCTGTGATGTGTCGAGATGTAAATACAATAATACCCCCTCCCCGGTGATGTGTCGATATGTTAATACAATGATACCCCCTCCCCGATGATGTGTCGAGATGTAAATACAATAATACCCCCTCCCCGGTGATGTGTCGAGATGTAAATACAATAATACCCACTCCCCGGTGATGTGTCGATGTGTAAATACAATAATACCCCCTACCCGGTGATGTGTCGATGTGTAAATACAATAATACCCCCTCCCAGGTGATGTGTCGATGTGTAAATACAATAATACCCCCTCCCCGGTGATGTGTCGATGTGTAAATACAATAATACCCCCTCCCCGGTGATGTGTCGATATGTTAATAAAATAATACCCCCTCCCCGATGATGTGTCGAGATGTAAATACAATAATACCCTCACCCGGTGATGTGTCGATGTGTAAATACAATAATACCCCCTCCCCGGTGATGTGTCGAGATGTAAATACAATAATACCCCCTCCCCGATGGTGTGTCGAGGTGTAAATACAATAATACCCCCTCCCCGATGATTTGTCGAGATGTAAATACAATAATACCCACTCCCCGGTGATGTGTCGATGTGTAAAAACAATAATACCCCCACCCTGTGATGTGTCGAGATGTAAATACAATAATACCCCCTCCCCGGTGATGTGTCGATATGTTAATACAATGATACCCCCTCCCCGATGATGTGTCGAGATGTAAATACAATAATACCCACTCCCCGGTGATGTGTCGATGTGTAAAAACAATAATATCCCCTCCCCGGTGATGTGTCGATGTGTAAATACAATAATACCCCCACCCTGTGATGTGTCGAGATGTAAATACAATAATACCCCCTCCCAGGTGATGTGTCGATATGTTAATACAATGATACCCCCTCCCCGATGATGTGTCGAGATGTAAATACAATAATACCCTCACCCCGGTGATGTGTCGATGTGTAAATACAATAATACCCCCTCCCCGGTGATGTGTCGATATGTTAATACAATGATACCCCCTCCCCGATGATGTGTCGAGATGTAAATACAATAATACCCTCACCCGGTGATGTGTCGATGTGTAAATACAATAATACCCCCTCCCCGGTGATGTGTCGAGATGTAAATACAATAATACCCCCTCCCCGATGGTGTGTCGAGATGTAAATACAATAATAACCCCTCCCCGATGATTTGTCGAGGTGTAAATACAATAATACCCCCTCCCCGATGATTTGTCGAGATGTAAATACAATAATACCCACTCCCCGGTGATGTGTCGATGTGTAAAAACAATAATATCCCCTCCCCGGTGATGTGTCGATGTGTAAATACAATAATACCTCCACCCTGTGATGTGTCGAGATGTAAATACAATAATACCCACTCCCCGGTGATGTGTCGAGATGTAAATACAATAATACCCCCTCCCCGATGATGTGTCGAGGTGTAAATACAATAATACCCCCTCCCCGGTGATGTGTCGAGATGTAAATACAATAATACCCCCTCCCCGGTGACGTGTCGAGATGTAAATACAATAATACCCCCTCCCCGGTGATGTGTCGAGGTGTAAATACAATAATACCCCCGCCACGGTGATGTGTCGAGATGTAAATACAATGATAACCCACTCTGTGATGTGTCGATGTGTAAATACAATAATACCCCGTTCCCGTGACGTGTCGATTTCTAATGCAATAACTTGTGACGTTCAGCAGTATTGCAATACCTACCAAGTAGCATGTCAGAATGTAAGATAAAGTGACTAAATCCTTCAATAGTCATATATAATTTCTGCTGTGTGATTCCGACTATACTATGAGCATGTGTTTATGAATCAATATCACCTACCGGTGGCACCAGTCACAAACACATGCAAAGCCAAATCAATAGTGTTGTGTCAATACGTAAATACAACATAGACCATGATCATATATTTACAATCTACCATTAGTAAAAATAGGTCAAACGTTCTCAATTTATCCGAATCACACGGTGACTGGATGATGTTATCTTTGTCGTGGATCTTGAAAATAATTCTATGTTTCCCTCATGTGCCATCCTGCATGGCAATTTGCGCTCGTCGCTCCTTCCTACAGGATCCAGTTAGATTTGCTGTATCAGCACTTTTCTTCATAAAAGTACATATAACATATTGCAATGTGTGATACCAGACATTTGAAATGTTACATTACTCATGTCATACAGTTCTACTTTCACTTTCACAGATAATTGTATTTCAGAGATTTGAACACATTCAAATACTTTCGAAATCCTACTTTGTCGAAACGGTTGGTAACTGTACACCCATCATTCTGGCAGTAGATTACACGGGTAATAATCACATGTATGTCATAAACTGCCAGGCACAAGAAAGTATATACACTTGGCTGAGTGCATTTTCAAAACAATTTAAACTTAATGTCCAATACACAACTATGATGCCCGTATCAAACACATCGAATAACCATTTCGTCTTTCTTTCAATTTTAGCCAAAATTTCAAATCGACTTACAGTAAGATATTTACGTTTAAATCGATTTTCATTTTTGTGATCATTGCCTTCAATAGAAATTATAACAATATCGAATAAATTGTCTGTCTGTCTGGCCATATTCTGCATCAGTTTTCAACCAACTGCAAGTGAATTCCAGTTGTGTATCTGCATGTATACAGAAAATAGTTATGTATATCTTCAGTCATGTAAACATATCATTATCCAAACCCTGCAAGTTTCCCTCCTCGCTCTGGTCCAGAAACCCATTGTTATCGGACCCAGGTGTCCTATTCGTGCACCTATAACATGCTTGGCACTGTCAGCTGAGAGTGCAATACATTCATCTGCTGTGAAGCTTGATGTGGTTTAGTTTTCATTTAACAATTTTGCTTTCTGAAAATAAACATAGGTACACGAAGATGAGTTATTGGGATGTGATGAGTTGTGATGGAGAATGATGTGTTTATATGTGATGTCGGAGTTGCTCCAGAACTCTAGATATGCGACATGGATCTTTTTTCTAAGTGATTCAAGTGCTCACTGTTGATTCTTTTTTCATAGAAATGCGTGGTCGCCTCAGATTTCCCTTTGCAAAATTAGCTCTTAACTTTTTTGTATATTTGTTCGAGAGAAAGCAGGGACCACTATTCACTGCAGTGTCGCCGTTCAAGAAAGTGCTGGAGTTTATCACCACCCTGGAATTTAACGACAGCTTCTGTTTTTCTCATCAGCGTAACCCCTCGAGTACAATATCCAGTAATACGATCCTCTTGTAAATGTTATAGAACATGTTTTACAAGAAAACTGTCACGACCGAATTTGTCAACTACCGTATTCGACGTAATAAGCGCCCAGGGCGCTCTCAAAATTAGAAATAGGAGGTTCGTATTAGATTATTATTTTGGTTAAAATAACTCTGAAACAGAACTAAAGGATAAATTTCGTGGTTTATATGAAATGTTTATATATGACAGATATATTTTTCCAGAATGTAATGGGCCATAATTAAAGGTGCATATAACACACGAGTGCGTATTATACGCGAATAAATAAGTCTTGTGTACATTGATCAATCGTAAGGGGTGCTAAATGGGATTGTTCACTAGCCAATATATTAGCAAATATCGCCGTGGGCGCTTATTAGAGCGGGGCGCTTATTCCGTCGAATACGGTAACTGTATTTGCAACAGACTGTTAAACCGTGGCTACTCACCGTACTGTGCCCCGGTCCTGGTGACACACCCGATGAGGAAGACAATTGCCCCCAGTGATAACATGATGGTCCTTCTTCATACAGCTTGACTTATTACACACAGATGCCCGCAGTTCACATCCAGAAGCTTCACAACACAGTAGCTCCGTCAATACCTGATTTAACTGTACAAAACAACGCCACAATTCAGGACATCATGTCCAAGATCACACGCAACTGTCTGGCGATACCATCCTTGCTGGTATTACATTATTATGGCAATACCAACAATACCAACAATACCAACCGGTGGGGCAATTAGCACCCGCGTTTATGTACCATGTGGTCACGTCCTGAGGTATCAGAATTCTTGCAACGAATATTTAAATGATTTGATGACATACAGTAATCCTTGGAGAAAGAACCGTGAGCTCTGGTAGTCTGACGGTTCTGTCTGGCGTGTCCGTAGTACCAGAAGAGCCGTGTTGCCACAGCGGGGTGCCGCGATATACTCGCTTTGCAATTAGGCATAAAATGTGCGTGGCATGACTCTCACAAACTCGCTTCACTCCACTGCCCTTACTGAAAGGCTGAAGGATTTCCACCAGCCGGATGTGATGTAATGAAATTACTGTTGTGGGGGTTGATGCGTGCCACGCCTTCCTGATTCCCACTGATTGGCAGACGATATGGCACTTCTGGGAACTCTACCATTCTCTCAATGAACCCATTTTATTGCAGCACCATTCACAACTGACACGCACGTATCATGAAATATATTTGTCAAGGCAACCCAAACTATTTCCTTTGCCATTGTTTATGCCGAGGTTTCATATTTCATTGTTCTTACAGCACGCCATTGGTAGCACAACACGAGATTACAAGTGGATAACTATTATCGTATATGTACGGTAAATATACACACTAATCGGTTAATCATGACTTGTGTTGTTCGTTGCCATGTTTATGCGTATCTATGAAATGAAGTGCCACGCGCTGGGGGTGGCAAAGAGGGTTTTCCGTCTTTGTTGCGGATACGCTACCATTTCCAGCTATATTGCATGTACCCCTCTTTGTCGTAGTATGAGAGCCTCCGATAGACTTCATTTTCTATTTGTATTGTTTATATTGGGAGATAGACTCACATAAATTCTTAAACAGAGTGGTTTGTATGTTTACATGGAGTTTTAAATCGGGCATCTTTCATAAGCTATTATGGGCTCCAGATAATTTTCCAGTACGTACTCCATTTTTTTTTATATAGGAGTACTTACAAAACTTAACAGTACACTTGGAGTACTGAATGGAATTTTATAACTTAATCATGTATTTCAAGTATAAATAATACATTTTTTTCTTTGTTGTATGTCTATTAATAATGCGCACCTTCTTCTAGGGTATTCGGTATTTTGGAAAGAAACCAAAGTATTATGCGCAGAAAAAATATTACATCGTATCCTATCAGTCAAGTAACCGAACAGGTGATGAAAACTGGGTCAATACAAATTTGAAATTTGACACAAAATATCGCTAGACATAATGATTTACCGTTTTAATTGTATGCGAGCTCTATTAAAAATTGTGTTATATGCAGACATTAAGATTACCGTGTGTATTTTCTCATAAACCAAGCTAGCATCGGATGTACACACGTTTTCTCACAGTCTACCGGGGATTCGGTTAAACATTACCCAATAATAGAACTTAAAATAATTTTAATGCAATGATCGGAAGAATCGTACTTGAAACTATTTATAAGGAAGTATATCTTCAAATATCTTATTGCTTTAGTTGCAGCTTTACTATATATATTTAAAATAATAATAACCATAAACGTACCACAACTGATCGCTATTGTCGGATGTTTTTTTACGTATGAGACAACTTGACTTGTCACTGTCGGGACTCGAGGCTCTATTGACATATAATTGTTAAACTACAACAAATATGACTCTTAACGAGTCAAAGTATGACATTGGTGATATATGTATCCATTCTGTGGCAACTAAAGATCATATCAAGGCGTCAATAAAAGTAATCTGACCGTTGTTGCTGTAAATGACTGTGAGTTGTGTGATCTACTGATCACTTCACATGCGAAATTAATGTAAACAATATCGAAGGAAATTTTGACTAAAATTAATGAAATAGGTTACAAACATAAGTCCAGATATACTGAATGCTGAATGAATACTTTTTATTACCATATAGTATAATTACAGGACATGTGTTTATGATCACTAGCAAGTAGTGCTGATAGGAGATGTTCGAGAAAAGGTGGGACACGTTATAAAGGTATGCAAAAGCATGTCAAATGTTCACTTAAAAAACACGGAAAAACGCGTCTAATTTCGTCTTCCACATGTCTACCATAACACTTTTTGAAAGCTATCGTGAGGCCTTGAATTGTCGTAATCTTGGTCAACTTTTGAACAAGAGTTGTATGGCGTTCATTGAAATTTTCTGAAGAAAGAACAAGCTCAAATTTTCTGAAGAAAGAACAAGCTCAATTGTTTTCCAAAAGTTGTGAACTAGAAAGGTGATTACTTGAAACTTGAAGTCAACACTCTTGTCATCCAAAATTGGGACTCTTTTATAAAAGAAATAATGAAATAAGTGTAAAGGTCTGACATTGTGGGTTTTTCACATGACTTCGTTTTCATGTATGTGTCGGCAACAATGTGGATGTTTGAGAACAAATTCACCTGGACAAACAATTAATTCAGATACTCATTCCGGTTGATGAATATGTATGTATCGGCAAACATGTATACAATCAGTTTTAGTAAATGGTTACATGAATAAATCTTCAATAATGTGCACAATTGTTTTGTTTTTTTATAAATGGCTATTTTTACATCGGCAATAATGTGTACACCCGTTCTACTAAATGTCTGTGTGGCGTGTTCGATTTCCCTCATAGGTACAATGTGTGAAGCCCATTTCAGGCGTTTCCCGCGGTGATATTGCTGGAATATTGCTAAAAGCGGCGTAAATCCACTCTCTCACATTCACTCACTCACTGACTGCAAAACGGCTACATGTATACATCACCAATTATGTGCACAATCAGTTGATGGTCACGTGAATATATCGGCAATAATGTGCCATATAGTCCATGTAATGTGTGAATGCTTACAAAAGCAACTACATTCACATGCATGAGCACAACATTGTCCATGTTATAGTTTCATGCTTTAGAATAGGATATGCGGCAATGTGGGCAAATGGTCCTTGTAATGGTTTCACGTCTATATAGACAGAAATTAACGTATTTAATTACATTCTTATAGAGACAATATTGAACACAGATGCCAATGTGATAGTTACATATTTATACAGATGGCATAGAGCTCAAACAGTTGATGTAATGGTTACATATTTACAGAGACAGCAATGAACACAAACAGACAATGTGGTGGTTACATACTAATATAAACAGCAATGAACGCAAATAAAACATGCAGTGGTTACATGTCTATATAGCCAGGAGTGAACGCCAATAGTTCGTATGATAGTTACCTGTTGATCTAGATAGCAATGATCGTAAATTGTCCGTGTACAGGGTACATGTTTAGACAGCAATGGACGCAAATAGTTCATGTGAAGGTGACATGTTTAAATGGAGAGTAGTGGATACAAAGAGTCCATGTACTTGATACAGGTTTAAAGAGACAACAATGACCACAAAACATACATGTATAAGTTACATTTTTATAGAGAATGCAATGAGTAAAAAAAAGTATATGTACTGGTTCCATGTTTATAGAGACAGAAATGAGCACAAATAGTCCTTGTCATGGATACATGTTTATAGAGACAGCAATTATCACAAAAAGTATATGTACTGGCTACATGTTTATAGAGACAGCAAAGAGCACAAATAGTCCTTGTCATGGATACATGTTTATAGAGACAGCAATTATCACAAAATGTATATGTACTGGCTACATGTTTATAGAGAACGCAGGGAGTACAAATAGTACTTCTAATGGCTACATGTTTATAGAGACAGCAATTATCCCAAAATGTATATGTACTGGTTACATGTTTATAGAGACAGCAATAGCACAAATAGTCCTCGTCATGGATACATGTTTATAGAGATAGCAATTATCACAAAAAGTATATGTACTTGTTATATGTTTATAGAGAATGCAATTATCACGAAAAGTATATGTACTGGTTACATGTTTATAGAGAATGCAATTGTCACAAAAAAGTATATGTACTGGTTCCATGTTTATAGAGACAGAAATGAGCACAAATAGTCCTTGTCATGGATACATGTTTATAGAGACAGCAATTATCACAAAAAGTATATGTACTGGCTACATGTTTATAGAGACAGAAATGAGTACAAATAGTCCTTGTCATGGATACATGTTTATAGAGACAGCAATTATCACAAAATGTATATGTACTGGTTACATGATTATAGAGAACGCAGTGAGTACAAATAGTCCTCGTCATGGATACATGTTTATAGAGACAGCAATTATCACAAAAAGTATATGTACTTGTTTCATGTTTATAGAGAATGCAATTGTCACAAAAAAGGATATGTACTGGTTACATGTTTATAGAGAATGCAATTATCACAAAAAGTATATGTACTGGTTACATGTTTATAGAGACAGCAATGAGCACAAAAGGTATATGTACTGGTTACATGTTTATAGAGACAGCAATGAGCACAAAAAGTATATGTACTGGCTACATGTTTATAGAGAACGCAATGAGCACAAATAGTCCTCGTCATGGATACATGTTCATAGAGACAGCAATTATCACAAAAAGTATATGTACTGGCTACAATTTTTATAGAGACAGCAATGAGCACAAATAGTCCTTGTCATGGATACATGTTTATAGAGACAGCAATTATCACAAAAAGTATATGTACTGGCTACATGTTTATAGAGACAGAAATGAGCACAAATAGTCCTTGTCATGGATACATGTTTATAGAGACAGCAATTATCACAAAAAGTATATGTACTGGCTACATGTTTAAAGAGACAGAAATGAGCACAAATAGTCCTTGTCATGGATACATGTTTATAGAGACAGCAATTATCACAAAAAGTATATGTACTGGCTACATGTTTATAGAGACAGCAATGAGCACAAATAGTCCTTGTCATGGATACATGTTTATAGAGACCGCAATTATCACAAAATGTATATGTACTGGTTACATGATTATAGAGAACGCAGTGAGTACAAATAGTACTTCTAATGGCTACATGTTTATAGAGACAGCAGTTATCCCAAAATGTATATGTACTGGCTACATGTTTATAGAGACAGAAATGAGCACAAATAGTCCTTGTCATGGATACATGTTTATAGAGACAGCAATTATCACAAAAAGTATATGTACTGGCTACATGTTTAAAGAGACAGAAATGAGCACAAATAGTCCTTGTCATGGATACATGTTTATAGCGACAGCAATTATCACAAAAAGTATATGTACTTGTTACAAGTTTATAGAGAATGCAATTATCACAAAAGGATATGTACCGGTTACATGTTTATAGAGAATGCAATTGTCACAAAAAAGGATATGTACTGGTTACATGTTTATAGAGAATGCAATTATCACAAAAAG